CTGGGTTCTTCACGGTGGTGATGGAGTGCCTCCCGCGAATGCTTGCGTCGAGTTTGCTCTCCGTTGACGATCCGATGTTTTGCTTCACTGGAACAATGTCTTCTCCTCACGATTCGACGCTGTGGAAAACTTGCGTGGCAAGTTTGAAACTCTTGATGAGTTGATAACTCTGAACGAGTTTTAACTCTTGAAAAAGAGTTGATTTGAACCGAAAGTCGGTTATAAGCCAAGGACAGAGGCTCCCTGTTGCTGAAGGATCAAGGCCGATCTCCTCCAAAACCTTTGCTGCCAATTCTCAGACCCGAAAATGCCAGCCCTTAACTCAGTTGAGTTTACCCATATTTATAGGGAATTAAGGGGTGTAACCGCCCCCTTAATTCTCTCCATAGTGGGGCGGAAATCCCTCAAATCGTGGAGGGAAAACGGTTCCTGCAACCGTTCAACTCGTGTTTGAACGAGTCAAACACCCACGTGGGTGTTCAGGATCCTAACTCCGCGTTTTAGAATTGAGACGCGGAGTTCAGTACTCGTTGGGTGTTGAAAAACGCGGGTCCGATCCTAGCGTTTTAATGTTGTAACGCGGGTTCGACCACGGCGTTTTGATGTTATAACGCGGGTTCGACCCTCGCGTTTTGATGTTGTAATGCTGGTTCGACCCTCGCGTTTTGATATTGTAACGCTGGTTCGACCCCGGCGTTTTGATGTTGTAACGCTGGTTCGACCCCGTCGTTTTGATGTTGTAACGTGGGTTCGACCCTCGCGTTTTGATGTTGTAACACGGATTCGACCCTGATGTTTTGATGTTGACACACGGGGAGGACCTCCGCGTCTTGTCTTGAAGAGATTATCACAAAGTAATCTCTTTTGTCATAGCGTTGCAAAGATCATTGTCTTGTAATCTTCGTCTTGGCTCCTTGAGAATATGAGAGTCGTCAGATTGTAACTCCCGATGTTGATTGTGAATGCTGTTGAACTAGAGCTCCCATCGGTTGTCGTGAAGGTCGTCAGATTGTAACATTCAGCGATCTACGTGAAAGTCTTCAGATTACAGCCTTCTGGAAGTCGTCAGATTGTAACTTCCATCATCGGTGTTTGATGGGGGATAAGCTATCTATTGTGATTTTTAGACAACCTACACCACTCAACATCTGATCTACTTTAAGTCTCACTTAGGCATGATCTCCGACAATGAAGCCCTGATGGTTCGGTCATTCGTCGGCGCTCTTCACGGGCCTACCTTCAATTGGTACTGCCGTCTCAAGCCTGGAAGCATCAACAGCTGGGATGACCTGGAGAACCTGTTCCTCACTCACTTCTTTGATGATGATGCTGAGATGTCGACCAGAACACTCTTCGATGAGAAACAAGAAGACGACAAGACGGTCGACGACTTCGTCAAGCACTTCCGGAATAAGGTGATGAACTGCCGAGATCCGATCACAGAGGACTTCATCCTCCAAACCTGTCACAACAACCTCTCCTTGGACGTGTTGGAAGTTATGGGAGTAGTACCCTCCAATACTTGGAAAGAGTTGAAGATGCGTCGAGATCGGGCCGAACGTTTCCTCAGAAGGAAGAGGGACGAGAGGAGCCAACCGATGGCTAATCCTCCAAACTCGAACTTTGCCTCCCGTGGTAAAGGGAAGGCCCCTATAGCTGCTGTTGACATTAATCAGACGTCACAACAACAATCCCGAAGACAGCAGAAAACTTCGGATCCGAGACTCCAAAAAGAGTACTCCTTCAAGGATAAAGATGATCCAGCCATTTTTAAGTCCCTCCTTGAAAACAACAAGATCAAGCTACTACCTATCGCAGATCAGGAGGAAGTTGATGACACCTCGGATCCAAAGTATTGTATGTACCACAAGAGGATCATTCATCCCACCAAGGCTTGCTTTGCTCTCAAGAATAGCATCCAAACCTTGGTTAAAGCTGGCGTCATAACACTGGGACGAGCCAAATGAGAATGACAACACTCCGAAGAGTATACGAGTATAAACTGCTTCTCAATACTCTAATAGGTTTATGAGTCTAAACTGTTTCCTACCTTTGACGGAAAGTTCCTGGAGAATTTTTATACGTAATATTCTTAAGGATAGCCCGGTCATGTAACTGAGTACAACGTCATACCTAGTTCCGCAAAGAAAACTGGGGGTGGATGATTCATATAACGGGAAGTTCCTGGAAGAATGCTATGTGTAATTTTCTTAGGGATAGCCCGATCATTACGAATAAAGTGATAAACACTAAACCCCACTACAACAGACATGTCTTTTAGTGACCAACTTTTTTGCGAGAAAATTATTTTTCTCAACAAATATCACTTTCGACGAGGAAAATATTGTTTCCTCGATAAATATCAGTAGGTCTTTTACGAGGAATATATTTTCCTCACAGTAGATCACCTTCTACGACGAAAATTTTAGTTCCTCACTAAAGATGATCATGATTTGATCTCCTAACTAGTTATTTTATTAGCGAGGAAATATGAGATTTTGGCGATAAACTTTTTCATCTCGAAATGCACATTTAACGAGGAAATAATTATTTCATCGCTATTCTTTTGGCGGAAAATAGAGGAAACTCCGCCAAATGTAACAACGACAAAGTATGATTTCCTCGCTGAAGATCCATAATCTGCGAGGAACAGTTTTCTCATCAAAAGAATCAATTAGCGAGGAAATAATAGTTTCTTTATTATTAGTTTGGCGGAAAAAAAACCTGTTAATTTCAATGATGACAAAGTTAAGGCTTTCTCGCTAAAAGTTTTTGTTTTTACGCGGAACCGTTTACTCGTTAAAAAGAACCTATTAGCGAGAAAATTATAGTTTCCTTACTATTAATTTGGCAAAAAAAATTTACAACACCCGCCAAATTCATTGACGACAAATTAAAGGTTTCCTCACTAAAATTTTTGTTTTACAAGGAACTGTTTCCTCATTAAAAAAAACCAATTAGCGAGGAAATAATGGTTTCCTCATTATTAGTTTGGCGGAAAAATATGGAAAACCCGCCAATTTTAATAGCAACAAATTTAAGGCTTCCTCGCTAAAAATTTTTGTTTTATGAGGAACCGTTTTGTCGTAAAAAAGAACCTATTAGCGAGGAAATTATAGTCTCCTCATTATTAATTTGGTAGAAAAATGTGCAACACGTGACAAATTCATTGACGACAAATTGAAGGTTTCCTCACTAAATTTTTTTATTTTACGAGGAACCCTTTCCTCGTTAAAAGAATCAATTAGCAAAGAAATAATAGTTTCTTCATTATTAGTTTGGCGGAAAAATGTGCAAAACCTGCCAAATTGAATGGCGACAAATTTAAGGCTTTCTCGCTAAAAGATTTTATTTTGCGAGAAATCATTTTCTTGTTAAAAAAACCAATCAACGAGGAAATAGTAATATCCTCATTATTCGTTGGTGAAAATTTTGGTGGGAATTTAGGTAAAAAGTAGGCGGGTACTCGAAGAAAAGAGCGAGCCTCTAATATCAATGGCCTAACAAATGTCCATATACAAGTCAAAAATCGTGGGCCAATTTAGATATTTTTTTGAATAAATGTCCAGCACGAGGTAAAGCTCCAGTATGGATAGAAATAAGGATTTGGTTTGTCTAGTTGATGGTTCCTTTTTGTAGGTTTTTGCACAATTCACATGAAGATTAACAACCAATTAATATTTATTCAGGTTCAAAGGGATCCTAATGATAAATGATTGCTCACAAATCTGATAAGATTTAAACAATTTGCGATTTTTGAATATACATTTATTTCAGACTTCTAAAATTAGATTATGTTAATAGATAATATTGACTTCTGAAAATAGATTAAACCAAACGTGTAATAAAATCTCTTATTCCTATTTGGCATAATTTTTAAGGTATATAGTGACCATGCTTCGATATCAATGGAGAATCGTATGTGTGTGTGCATGTGTGTGTCTGTGTGTGTATGTGTGTGTGTGTGTGTAAACTATTTGCGGTTTTTGAATATACATTGATTTCAGACTTTCGAAAATAGATTATGTTAATAGATAATATTGACTTCTGAAAATAGATTAAACCAAACATGCAATGAAATCTCTTATTCCTATTTGGCAATGAAAATAGATATAAACTACATTAGCTTTGAGATGTGGGAGATTCTCCTCACAAGTTTAGGCATTACTTCGATTCTAAACACTCATTAATCATACATTCTGAGCTTGTCTAGATATATCTGTCTCGATTAGATATTTATGCATCAGCAAGATATTTCCACTTTGAATATGTTTTAATGCCTCAACCGGGTATCCTATCGTAATAAGATCTTTCAATCTTGATCACAACAAATTTTCTCTTTGAAAAGATAGCTGAAACATATACATATGTTTATATTTTTCCCTAACCCCTAAACCCTAAACTCTAAACATGATCAAAGTAAAATATCAAATTTAACCCTCTTAATAGATATACTCACCGTCTCATTTGTTCCGTCTAGTTTGAATCAATCGAGACGAAAACTTTCGTCTAGAGTTTCCGTCTAGATTGACAAACTAGATGGTTTTTATTTTTTTTTAAAATAATACCAAATTTTGACGGAAATTCGGTCAAAGTTGCCTAACAAAATTTACGCAACCTCTTTTTTTTATTTCCCCGCCTATTTTTTCATTTCCCCTCCTCATTTTATTCCGCTCTGGCCCTCTCCATCTAGAAACCCCCAAATCTCTCTCTCATCTCCACGCCCACCCCCCTCACCAAAATCTCCAGATAT